TAACAAAAAATATTAATTTCCTGTTGATTTCCAATCCATATGCTTGCCTGTCTAACCCTGTTTAATTTTTCGGACTTCAGTTAAAGTTGACAGAGTGCTGCCACTTAGCAGCATGCAGGTGGTACTACTTATTAACAAGTGCCATTTTAAGTACAATTGTTGAAATTAATATTTTTTGTTAATGCCATTAGTTTTACTTATGAATTTCACTTGCTTATAAAACTAACTTTGGTTAACTTGGAAAGTATATTAAGATCCTGACTACATACTGTATATCTGAAGGAATTTCTGAAGCTTTACCTGAGGGCGACAACGTAATGTGTATGCATCTTGCACTATATCACAAAATCTATGCGATTCTGTAAAAAAAAAAAAACAAAGCCAGCACTCCACACACACACACCAAGATTTATAGAAAGACGGCAGCTCCGACCATGCTTTAAGCTGAAAACATCAGCCTGAAGATGTACAGCATTGTGAAAATTTCACCAAAATAGCAATGCAGGTCTTCTAAAACAAACATTATTTGCTCTGTTTTTTTTTTTTTACAGAATCGCATAGATTTTGTGATAGAGTGCAAGATGCATACACATTACGTTGTTGCCCTCAGGTAAAGCTTCAGAAATTCCTTCAGATAAACAGTATGTAGTCAGGATCTTAATATACTTTCCAAGTTAACCAAAGTTAGTTTTATAAGCAAGGGAAATTCATAAGTAAAACTGGCATTAACGAAAAATTTCAACAATTGTACTTAAGAATGGCACTTGTTAATAAGTAGTACCACCTGCATGCTGCTAAGTAGCAGCACTCAGTCAACTTTAACTGAAGTCAGAAAAATTAAACGGGGTTAGACAGGCAAGCATATGGTTTGGAAATCAACAGGAAATCCCAGGATATGCAGGATAATTTCAGAAAATAACTTCTTAGGTGAAGAAGACAACAGATCATTATCAAATTGTTCTCAGGAAAATTTCACTCAATCTTTACTTGAAAGAGACTTACTTCAGCATGTGAGCCTCTAAATATTCAGTCTGAGCAAGTTATAGTATCTAGCCAATCTTGTCTTAACTTCAAGGGTAATTCCGATTAGATGTAACAGTACGTAGTATCAGGGCTCTAGTACTTGCAAAAAGCAGCCAGGAAGAAGATAGTAATAAAACATTTTATTGCTGCCAACATTTTATGGACATCTTTATCAAAGTCACCAGGAGCTGAGATTGATTTCATAGTGATTATACTGTACAAAAAAAAAATGTTTTCCAATCAGAGATTATATTTGTTGCAGAAGTAGAATCTATATGGAACTATTATTTCAAAGAATAAAAACTCATCAATTAGTTGGATAATTCTAGACAATAATTTAACAATAGTGAAAAATTGTGATCTGTAAATAGATCATTTACAACAAATTAACCATAGCTGCATGCACTATAGTTATAGTTAAACTTATTAAACACATGTAGCATATTGCATAGGAAACCTACACAGATATATTTTGCAGGCTTTGTTTATTTTTTATTGAGTCAATACAATATATACCTTTCCTTAATTGCATATGTTCCACCCACACTTGTGATCCAACCTAACATCAATTTGACTTAAATCCTGTAAAGTATGCTGTAAATATAAGTTGCATACTTTCTATTGCCTACAAAATTTGAGACATTAATGTTCTGTTTCATCAGTAAAGATGGAAAGGGTGAACTTGTTTTAACAGACTTTCAAAACTGAAGCCTCTGCTTCTATTGGCTGAGAATGTAGAAAGTTATAGTTCAACACATACAGATGGTGACAAGTTGAGAAGGTTAGCTCTAAAATGAATAATGGTTTACCAAAAATAGCTAACATCTATCTTTTTCTTGTAGGTTCATGGTGTTGTGAATGACACAATTGCCTTTGTAAAGAACATAATTACCACAGAGATCAATAGTGCAACAGACAATCCTGTATCCTTATTTCTTTTTAAAAGAAATTGGTTTTTTCCTCTTTAGGAGGAAAATTTACTATTTAACATATACATGAACCTACAAGAAAAAGATAGATGTTAGCTATTTTTTGGTAAACCATTATTCATTTTAGAGTTAACCGTCTCAACTTGTCACCATCTGTATGTGTTGAACTATAACTTTCTACATTCTC